CTCTCCTGCCCGGGCTGGCTTTGAACCGTGATCCTCAGATCTCAGCCTCCTGAGTAGCTAGGATTACAGGCGTGAGCCACCAGCGCCCGGCTTCACTCAGCTTTCTTGCACAGAGCTAGCACTTTACCACACACTTTTTGCTGGTTAATTTCAGATGGGAGTCTTACGGGCATTTCTGCACAGGCTGGTTTCAAACCCTGATTTTCTAAGTTTCAGCCTCTTAAGTAGCTAGGATACAGATGTGAACCACTGGAGCATGGCCTGAGATTCATTTAATTCAGTGTCTAAATTCTAACACTGTTCTTATGGGGAATAAGAACAATGACCTTGTTTAATCTATTTAAACATAAACTATAGTAAAAGTTCATATGTATCAATGAATATAGTATGTGTTCCTCTCAACCTAATCCTAGAAACTAAAATTGGCACACCAAAAACTTAATATTTTAAAGACCATGCCAATATCAAAATTAATTTGTATTCCTGAGAAAATTAACATTGAGAGAGTGGGCTTGGATAAGGGCTAATTTAGAATTTTTTCATTGTAAACTTTCCACTAGTAACCTTTTTCTTTTAAAAATTATAAATTGTTGGAAGTGGCACTGTAGCTCAAGTGGTAGAGCGCTCGCCTTGAGCTGAAGAGCTGAGGGACAGCGCCCAGGCCCAGAGTTCAGGCCCCACGACGGGACCCAAAAAAAAAAAAGAGAAGTGAGTTGTGTGAGGGCATGGGTGGAGTAAGAAACTGATAATCACTTTTATTCCTTTTTTTACACCAATAATTGAAGTCTGTGAAAAAGTATTAAACCTCTCAAAACTTGGAACTAAGGCTGGGAAGATGGCTCAATGGTAGAGTGCTTACCTCACATGCATGAGACCCTGGGTTCAATTCCTCAGCACCACATACGCAGAAAAAGCTGGAAGTGGTGCTGTGGCTCAAGTAGTAGAGTGCCAGCCTTGAGCAGAAGAGCTGAGGGATAGCACCCAGGCCCAGAGTTCAGGTCCCACGACTGACACCCCCCAAAAAAATTTAACTAAAGAGAATTGATTTGCATTTTTGTTTTCACTAGTTTTTTTTTTTCTTTTCCCTTTCCATCTTTACTGCTCAAGGTACCAACATGGGTCTGAGCACACAAGTATTCTATGAATGTGAATCTCCTTTACAAGCCAGGAAATAAACTCCCCTTCATGTTAGTCAAATAGTTAATAATTTTACAAGCACAAATTAAAAAATAGGATAAATTCTTATGTGAAAGCCTTGAATCCAAGCCACCCTAGGCTAAGTCCGTGAGACTCCACCTCCATTTAACTAGCAAAAAGCTGGGCTGGAGGTGTGGATCAAGTATTAGTACCAGCAGTGAGAAAGCAGATCTCTTTGAACACATCTCTGTCTTTACAATTTCCAAAATATGTTCTATATAATCTTTTTATGTACAATCTTAAAAAGTGAAAATAACATTAAAACCTGGAAGAAGTCAATTAAATAGTTTTAAAAATCACTTAAATGACATGCCAAATGATACTTCATGATTTTAAAAATCATTTTACTGACAAGCTGACATTTGTTATATTCAAGTTTAGAAATTCCATGGTTTAAATCAGAATAAAGGGCAATAAAGTATTAGGGATAAAACCAAGGTGGACTGCCTGTCTAGAGCCCTTCCTTACTTGGCTTCTTGTCAGCAGCACACTCCTCTGCAGAAATAAACTTTGCCTTGCCTTCTCCCCCACAAAACAAAATCCATGGTTTAAAATTACCAAATAATTTTCCTATGCTATTCATATTCTATACTCCCTTTTGTTATTCTTTGGGGTTCTTTTCCTGATGCTCACTGTAAAGGATAAAAAAAAATCAAAATACACTGAAACATACACAGTAAACTCTTCTCTATCATCCTGAGAGACTAACACTTAAAAATCGTGAGCACAATCTTTCAGATCTACTTTCTTATAGATATTAATTTGTATATGAGTGGGTAAGTAATCAATGCTTACAACTTTATTTTGTAATATTTATTTAAAATGATATTATAGCTGTGCATTCATGCCTGTAATCCTAGCTATGACGAGACTGAGATCTGAGGGTTGGTGTTTGAAGCCAGCTTGGGCAGGAAAGTCTATGAGACTCTTATCACCACCAGAAAACTGGAAGTAGTGCTGTGGTTCAAAAGTAGTAGAGCAGTAGCATTGAGCAAAAGAGTTCATTCAGAGACAGCACTCAGGCCCCCCAGTTCAGGCCCCCACAACCAACAACAAAAAAATAAATAAAATTATACTGTAAATATATAAATATAACATGAAAATATTAAATATTAATAAAATAATATATAAATATATGTAAACAAATAAAATTATTTTGTAATAGTAAAAATGGATATATTTTCATTTCATTCAGTCTTATATTTTCATTTCAGAGTTCATAATAATTTTTCCATTTTACAATGACTGCAGTTGCTTATAGTTTGTTCTTTATCCCATCATGTATTATTACATATACCAGAGATTTAAGTGTTTGTGTATGCACAT